CCAGTCTCCTTCTGGCTTGCCCAGAAGGGGAGTAGGGACCTTGCCCAGAAGGGGAGTAGGGACCTTGCCCACCAGGGGAGTAGGGAGTTTACATTAGCCTTTTCATTCCCAAATGAAGTTACATTAACCTTTTCAGCAGCCGAAAACAGTATATTCCCTTCCCATTCTCCCGCTGTTCCCTAGCTTGTCATGCATTCTTTCCAAAAATCGGGACTTTTTAAAAATGCGGCAGGATGCAGGACAAATTGTTAAAAATCAGGACTGTCCCACCAAAAGTGGACATCTGGTCACCTTATCCAAAAACCATGTGTTGGAAACTTAACCCCTGTGTGACAATGATGGTGGGGCCTACAGGGAGGTATGTACATCATGAGGGCTCCACCATGGTGAACGAATTAATGCCGATCGTAAAAGGGCTTCTGGCTGTGAATTGGGTCCCTTACTCTCTCTTGCCCTGTCACCCTCAGATGCCAGAGTGCCAACACATCATCGTGGACTTCCCAGCCCCCACAACCATGAGCTGACTAATTTCTGTTTATTATAAAATTACTTAGTTTGTGGTTTTCTGTTATTGCAACACAAAAAGAACTAAGTCTTTCAGATTGGCTATTTTTACTTCGTTTGCATTTAAGATTCCTCTGTCTTTTTGTGCCTGGTAGTTCATTTCTTAGTGCTGAATATTTTCCATTATCGGGATGGACCACAGTTCAGTTATCCATTCACCTACTGAAGGACAGCTTGGCTGCTTCCAAGTTTTGGCAATTATGAAGAATGCTGCTATAAACGTAAGTTTTTGTGTGGATGTAAGTTTTCAGCTCCTTTGAATATGTACTGAGGGGTGCACTTGCTGGATCATACAACCGTCGTCCAAGATGGCTGTACGTTCTGCATTCCCACCAGCAATGGGTGAGAGTTCCAGCTGCTCCGCATGCTCTCCAGCATTTGGTGCTGTCAGTATTTTGGATTTGGGCTGTTCTAATAGGTATGTATTGGTATCTCACTGTTGTTTTAACAGCTTCTTATTTTTGATTTGTATTTGCCTGATTGTACCAGAGCAGAGCACACGGACAATTCACAAAGGCGATGTGAACAGAATTCAAAACAGAAGCAGTGATTTGGCACATTTTCTTTAAAGTTTACATGAAAAACTGCCCAGCCATGAGCTTCACTCAAAGAACTGGTCAAAATGAACAGGTGGATAGGATTTCTGCAACTTTCACCTCCATTCTCCATTACCAATTCAATGTTTCAATTCTAACCTGGGATTTTCATTACAATTCAGTTACCAGAGGAGGAGCCTGCTAAATCCATATTATCTGTTTGCTCCCAAGTTGAACCCCTGTCCCAAATTGCTACATAATACCCAAATGCCAGAGGCCCCAAGCCTCACCATTGGAGTCATTTCTTGGAGTCAATATTTTGAGTCATCTTCCATAGAGCACTGTTAAAATGTACCTTGAGGTAGGTAAGCCACATATGACTGCTACTGGGGACAAAATGCCAGTGTAGATGAAGCAAGGCTAAAAGTACTGTTCTGGTTTAATAAAACCTGAGTGAAACAACCTTAGCACTACCAGGTTCCTCTACCAGTTGCTCAGCCTTGGAGGGTTTTAAGGAGTTTTGAATCATCTTGATCCATCACCCCATTTGCCTGCCTGCCTTTTCCATACTCTTGTTTTTGTTTTGTCTTTTTAGCTAATTTAGAGCATGGAGAAGTCTAGAGAACAATGTAAGGAACAGTAACACCCCACAAGAGGGATGTTAAATCTTTTTTTTTTTTTGCAGTTTTTGGCCGGGGGCTGGGTTTGAAACCTCCACCTCCTGCATATGGGGCTGGCGCCCTACTCCTTTGAGCCACAGGAGCCGC